ACATAGGAGGCATCAGCGTACGTCATCGGCTTCAGTGAGACGGTGATTTCGGAGGGAAACTTATCTTATCTAGCTGATTACCTGAAAGAAACGATCAGATATACAGCAATTAACTCATCCAACTTTAACACTGATGATTTCGAACTTACTGTAGAAAAACTTCAGCAGGGACGGACAGGGCGGAGTCTTGATCTTCACAGGTACACTTTTCTTCTTCGATTTATCGCGTATAGGTATAGTCGTGCAACTATACAGAAACCGAACTGATACATTAGTACGTACGCAGAACAGCTACATAATTGAAATGATCTACTGCGCACTAACCCATGAAAAATCAGTTCTTTCATTCGCTCCGGGATATACTGATTAGTATGAGTTCGTCGTCTCCATTCGCAAGCATTTATAGTGATGAACAATTCCTTCGCATCACGTCCAATGTCCCCCATGGAATCTTAAAAGGTCAGAGTAGAAAAAAAAGACAGCCTTGAAAACAGCCAGGAACACACCTTCATCCAAAGAGATTGATTGCTTAACGTGTTTCAATAGGTTGAAATAGTAATTTTTCGTCTGCTCTTTATTCTTTTCAACTTTTCGCTTGGCCATTATACGCATCACACCATCAAAATCCTTTCCGCACTGCAAAAACTCATAAAAACCATTTTTTCACTGGTACACGTGTACGCTGTGCCCGACCTGTTTCAGCCCTTCGTAAAATACCATTATCTCGTCATGGCTCCAGGTTTTGGACTTTCGCGGCAGGCGTTCCTCCTCACTGAATGATGAAGCGGTAGTTGGTTTAGATGGCTGAAGATATGGATTAAAAGAGTAACAAATCGATGATGCGGCACAGCAATGATTACAGTTCAAAAAAAAGAAGAGAATAGAATACGACTGGAAATTTAGACGATCAATCCCTTTTTGGGATGCGGCACGCATTCTACTTCCATTTGTACATTCGTAGTGGCGTTTGAATGCGATGTGGCCTATACAATGACTTGCGGGGCCAGCCGATGTACAAGTCAGTGTTTTTATCCTCCCAGACAAGTCTGGTACCAATTAACCGACCCCGG